AAAGGTTCTGGAACCGAACCGGAACCGTGGAACCGAACCGTAGAAAATCAAATAGTTTACGAACAACCGTGAACCGCTGGAACCGTATGCAAAACCGAACCGGAGGAACCGGAACCGTCTTACCCTCTTCGGGACCCTCTCCCAATAAACTGATTGGAAAAATTGCAAATGCTTTTTGAGTTCAATGCAAAAAGCAAATATATATATATGGGATTCTTCAAAAATAACCTTACATGTGTATCTTGGTAAGTCCAGCAACCATTTCTGAAATTCTTTGACCGTTGGTGGCAACTCTTTGCTGCTCGCTGCTTCGGTCCTCAAGCGAGCCAGGGAGCATGGGCAGAAAGACGTTCAAACAAAAACAGTCCAACCAACCCCCTTCGCATCATGCGAACATAGAATGCCGCAAACATGACCTTGTTTCTGGAATTTCTGACATGTTCAAAAAAATTGGTGACTTCTTTCCAGCCGGGATACGGGGAGGGCGCTGGTGTTGAACCACTAGGCTTTGCAGGAGCTTGCACATGCACTGTCACAACTGGCCCATCCACCTCTGATGTGCCTGGATGAATGTCTCCTGACACATTCTCATCATCATGAGGCGCATCCTCCGGAGGTGGAAGCGGAGGTGGGGGAAGCGACGCGGCTCTTGTAGAGTCTACGGGCAGGCCCTCCTGCACTAAGACACCTTCAAGCAGCTGCGCCACTTTCTCAGCCATTGCGAACTGATAGTTCAAGCCTACTGGGGGGTTTGAAGTTGAAGGCTGAGAGCAATTGACCAAGTCTCAATGTTCCCGACATGTCCTGTGGATTGTTGATATTCAGTTTGTCATTCAGTAACGTATCTGTCTCTGATTTACTATATTTACTATATTTATATAAATATGAAGCCATCAGCCAGGTGGCATGCCCTCCAAATGCGGCACTTTCCGGCTTCCAGCTGGAAGTCGGTCGTTATCAAGCTTTTGGAAAAAACAAATCCATGACTTCTCCGGCATCAAAATGGTCCAAATCCTGCTTCAATTTTGCCAAGCCGAGGAGGCAACAGCACAACTGGATGAATGCGACCAGTTTTCAACTCTTCAAGTCTTGCTTCGATAATTTGTAAGAAGCTTGCACCTCGCAACAACATTCCCGAAATAGTTTTCTTCAAAATGTCGAAGCACTGTTGATTTGCAATTGCTCAAAATCTGAACCTTTTATAGCGACGGACTGAAACTTAGAATGCCATTTTGGAACCGTACCCACTGGAAAAAGTTGCGGCAAAATATAGAAATATGTGCTCCCGCAACTTTTGTACTGTGTTTTTTCACCAATTGGCTCTTGTAATGTTAACTTAGAATGCGTGTCAGGTCCTTTCCTATTTTGACATGCTTCACTTGTTCTTTTGGATACCTTTTATTTCAGGGGTTTTTGCACTCGTGTTCAGAGATTCGGCGCCCGGTTGCTGCTTCTCAGCCTTCAACTTCAAACCCAGTAGGCTTGAAAGCTTTTTGAATATATTCAAGGTTTTAATAAAAACCCTTCAGATGGGTAAACCTGGTTGCCCCAGGCAATACGTATAGTTCCGGATCGAAACTTAGAAGGGGCCCTCAGTTTTCAAATATCTGTTTTATCATAGTAGTTACTTAAATTAACACCTTCACCCCCTCCATTGATGATTGCCGTATTTACGAATTCTTCAGTAGCAAGGTTAGATGAACCAGTTGCTAAAAGTTTGATAAATTCTGTTCCTATGATGGTATTACCGCCGTCTAATTGAACCATTAAATATAAAATAATTGAGATAGCCTACTGAAGTTGAAGACCTGACACGCATTCTAAGTTAACATTACAAGAGCCAATTGGTGAAAAAACACAGTACAAAGCACATATTTCTATAGAACAAGTGAAGCATGTCTAAATAGAAAAGGACCTGACACGCATTCTAAGTTAACATTACAAGAGCCAATTGGTGAAAAAACACAGTACAAAAGTTGCGGGAGCACATATTTCTAGATTTTGCCGCAACTTTTTCCAGTGGGTACGGTTCCAAAATGGCATTCTAAGTTTCAGTCCGTCGCTATACATACATATACATACATATACATACATATACATACATATACATACATATACATACATACACATACATACACATACATACACACACATACACACACATACACACACATACGCATACATACGCATACATACGCATACATACGCATACATACGCATACATACGCATACATACGCATACATA